ATACACACACTCACCGACGCACAAGCAGCCACACACATACACAAACACACACGCACACACACCGACCCATACAGACACACACACACCCAGCCACACAGAGACACACTCAGTCACACGTTAAGACACTCATGCAACCGCATGCACACGCACAGATACACACGTAGACACATAAAGACACACACATATATATAAAGTCACATACACAGACACAGCAATACACACAAACACACAAACATACACACACAAACACACATTGACACCGCACACTAACACACGCAGACACACACTAACTTTTATGATTACCGATAAACACCCTCATACATAAACAAAATCATACATACACAAACATGCTTACATGTGCGTACATATTACACAAAATGTATGTCACAAACACGCATACGCACATATTATACACACCTTGATAATGCAGTGTGGATTATTAACTACATTTAAAGTGACATATTATCACTGGTAATCATGAAACAAAAAATGTTTTGGTTAAATTAGAAGGGACTCTTTATTGTTTTTAGATCAAGTGGAAGATGATTCTATAAATGAGCAAATATGCTAAATTTGTCTTAAATAAATCAGCTCTGGGGATAGACAAATGCAATAAACTTAATCGCTTGCTACTCGTAGGATTGGACTGAATCAATCAGAAAATATAGTTTTGAGTATTTTGATATAAAATTTTGTAAATAAATTTGGATTGGTTAAAAACTGAATGTTTACTAAAGGTCAGAAGTCTTAGATGTCCGTACACGAGATTTGTTTACACAAAGAGACTGGGTACAAGGTCGGATTTTGTAGAGAACCGTAATCTCACATTAGACTTGGAGCAACCATCCCAAATTGTGGAACAGTAGTCAGTGTGGGTTTGGCTGTAGGATACGTAAAATATTGTATCTGTATTTTCGTCCAAAAAGTTCTGCATTTTGCCAAGTTGATAAACTTTTTTGTGATCTCTTTTTGATGTTTGTGCATGTGTGTCTGTGTGTGTCTGCGTGGGTCTGAGTATGTGTGTCTGTGGGTTTGTGTGTGTGTCTGTCTGTCTGCTTGTGTGTTTCTGTGTGTGTATGTCTGTGTGTGTATCTGTGTTTTTGTGTCTCCGCGTGCGTGCGTGTTAGTTTGTGTGTGTGTGTGTGTCTGCGTGTGTTTCTGTATGTGTATGTGTGTATCTTTATGTATGCATGTGTGAGGAATGTGTGTGAATGTGTGTTTGTATGAATGCTAATAAGTGTGTGTGTGTGTGTGTGTATTTGTTTGTGTGTGTGTATGCGTGTGTGCATGTGTGTGCATGTGTGTATCTTCATGTATGTATGTGTGTGGAATGTGCGTATGTATGTATATAAGTGTGTGTGTGTGTGTGTGAGTGAGTGAGTGTGTGTGAATGTATGTGGGTTTTTGCGTATTTAAGTGAATGTGTGTGCGCGTGTATATGTGTGTGTTTGTGTGTGAGCGTGTATATGTGTGTGTTTGTGTGTGCGCGTGTATATGTGTGTGTTTGTGTGTGCGCGTGTATATGTGTGTGTTTGTGTGTGCGCGTGTATATGTGTGTGTTTGTGTGTGCGCGTGCCTGCGCTAGAGTGAGCATACATTTTACCACACATGCTTTTGTGTTTTTTCTTGAATTTTCCAGTATGTATTTTATTATATGAAAATAACATGCTTTATTGATCAAAAACAAATGATGTGCGAAAAACTGGTGTTTGGAAGGGCCGAATAGAGGACGGGCTCGTGCGATCAATTAATGACCCTTTAAAAAAAGTGTGTCCGTTAGTTTGTTCGTTCTTTCGTCGTGGCATGAACATGGGAACTTCATGTTAAATAGCTGTCAATAACAACGCCTCATGTTTTGTGTCTAACTACAATGATGAGATAGACTCAGGTGTATATCAAAGGCAATTAAAAAAAATTACTTTCATCACTGTACACCGTTTAAAGAAAACATTACTCTCATCCATGTTCCTCTGATGACATCTCATGTTTAGAGAAAACATTACTCTCATCAATGTTTATCTCATGACATCTCATGTTTAAAGAAAACATTACTCTCATCAATGTTTATCTCATGACATCTCATGTTTAAAGAAAACATTACTCTCATCCATGTTCCTCTGATGACATCTAATGTTTATAGAAAACATTACTCTCATCCATGTTCCTCTGATGACATCTTATGTTTATAGAAAACATTACTCTCATCCATGTTCCTCTGATGACATCTTATGTTTATAGAAAACATTACTCTCATCTATGTTCCTCTGATGACATCTTATGTTTATAGAAAACATTACTCTCATCCATGTTCCGCGTGTGATATTGTTGCTGTTTGGCTCGTTCTAATATGGGAAATTATCCGTGCTCCAATCAAACTGTAAAGTCTGGACACGTGATCATACTTTCAAAACCCGCTGATAACGTTGATATCGTTTATTGTGACACAACAATAAGTCAGTCTGTCCATGTCCACAGTTCTCCCTGGTCGTTGACACCTGCTCACGACTGACTACCACGACAGGATAACAGTTTAACAAATATTGCAGTCACCTGCCTATCAGAACGTTCCAATCGCTCGGGTTTTGGCATCTGAATCACAAAAACTTACTAAAGTTCTCAGACCCTGGCAATTCAGACTCAAATTTCCTCAGACACTCGAGCTTTCCAAACGACGTTACTCCAGTTCACAGTGACGTTCACCTCGGTCGCACCATCTGACAACCTACCTCTCACTCTGTCAAAACAAGCAGGCACTACTTTGATTCTCTGTTCAAAACGTTCGTTCGAATCCCACGCTTCTCATTTACCCCTCTTCACAGAACTTGGGATCTCCAGGGTAGCGTCCCCGATCCCTCCCCCGTGTCTCTCGTTTACCTGGCCCACTGACCTTGTCCTCTCTATTGGAAAACTCTCTGGAGTTTCCTGGGAATTCCTATCATTGCACCTGATGGCATCTCATGTTTACATTATTGCTCATGTTGACAATAAATAAATAAATAAATAAATAAATAAAATATATAAATAAATACAAATAATAAAACAGTCTCATCAGACTGACACAACGCCTCTATATCCAGATGTCCGCTTTCAGTGACCAGAATAACAGCCACTTTCTCCTTCCTCAGTTGCCTCAAACAGATCGGACCATGCCAATCTCTGTGGAGGATCGCTGGCCACTGGCACCCCGGACCATGCCAACCTCTGTGGAGGATCGCTGGCCAATGGCACCCACCCAGGACTTAGCTCTCCCTTGAAATGAATTAGGATAAACGAAAGAACTCACACAAGTCTCCAAATGCCCAGCGTTCTTAACTGTTCTGTATTTACATGTATCCAAACTCACACAAACCCACCTATAATGCACCCCCCCCCCACACAAACACACACACACACACACACATATATATATATATATATATATATATATATATATATATATATATATATATATATATATATATATATACTCACACATGCATAGAAACTCAAATACACACGCACTCACACATAATGCACTCCCACACATGCATATATACACACGCATACATATATATTCTAGAACAGATAACAGCAGATTTGTTTTGTCAACAAGGCAAGGAACAGAGCATAAACAGGATGTTGTAGAGAACAGATCACAATAGATTTATGTTCTCAACAAGACAAGGAACAGAGCATAAACAAGATGTGGTAGAGAACAGATGACGGCAGATTTGTGTTGTCAACAAGACAAGGAACAGAGCATAAATAGGATGTGGTAGAGAACAGATCACAATAGATTTGTGTTGTCAACAAGACAAGGAACAGAGCATAAATAGGATGTGGTAGAGAACAGATCACAATAGATTTATGTTGTCAACAAGACAAGGAACAGAGCATAAACAGGATGTGGCAGAGAACAGATCACAATCGATTTGTGTTGTCAACAAGACAAGGAACAGAGCATAAACAAGATGTGGTAGAGAACAGATCACAATAGATTTATGTTGTCAACAAGACAAGGAACAGAGTATAAACAGGATGTGGTAGAGAACAGATCACAATAGATTTATGTTGTCAACAAGACAAGGAACAGAGCATAAACAGGATGTGGTAGAGAACAGATCACAATAGATTTATGTTGTCAACAAGACAAGGAACAGAGTATAAACAGGATGTGGTAGAGAACAGATCAAAATAGATTTATGTTGTCAACAAGACAAGGAACAGAGCATAAACAGGATGTGGTAGAGAACAGATCACAATAGATTTATGTTGTCAACAAGACAAGGAACAGAGCATAAACAGGATGTGGTAGAGAACAGATCACAATAGATTTATGTTGTCAACAAGACAAGGAACAGAGCATAAACAGGATGTGGTAGAGAACAGATCACAATAGATTTATGTTGTCAACAAGACAAGGAACAGAGCATAAATAGGATGTGTTACAGAACACATTTTTACCAGATGCTAGATCCCAGCAAAAAAATGCAAGCAATCCCCAAACACGTCCCCAGCGCCCCACCCTGCCCCGCCCCTCCCTGCCCCGCCCCGCCCCTCTTGGAAGGCAACAATCACCGCTCTATTGATCTGTCGACAGTCGGAGGCAGGAGACCAGTGTTTAGATTAGTTCTGTCCCACGGCTTCTATTGCTGACATCGGAAATGTAGACAACGCTGACGTCATTACTCTGATGTGCCGGTGTGCATTAGAGATGGTCGCAGTGTAAAATTGAACGGCTTGAGGTGGGAGGCAGACTGCGAGAGACTGAGAGAGACACACACACACACACACAGATAGAGAGAGAGAGAGAGAGATAGAGAGATAGAGAGAATTAAGAGACACTGAAACAACCCTAATGTAAAATTGCCTAGTAAAACGAGACAGCTAAAAGATGTTGAGGTTGATTCTGTCATGTTCTTGTAGCCGCCCCCTCTGTTAACCATTGTTCACCCTACAGCATGAATGTGTGACCAATGTCTGTTGTCACCATCTTCCCAGGTAGACCGAAGGTTCTAGAG